AAGTTGGTGAGTCTCAGTTTGAGGACAGCCTGTTCTACAAAGCAACCAACTTTCAGAACAGCCAGGGCTACTCAGACAAACCTTATCTTCAAAAACAAAAATAAAAACAATAAAATTTAAAAATCAGGCTAGCAAAATGGCTTAGCATTGAATATCAATTGCTTCCATTGTATCTAATATGATTTAGTAATACCTTTATAATGGTGGTGAAGTCAAGACAGCACAAGAAGGAAGCTGGCTGATCAATTTCAACCACCACATAAAAACAACAAAATTAAAAAATTTAAAGCAGCATGCTATCAAAATGGCTTTGTATAAAACAGCAATTTCTTCCTTCTATTGCATCTTATGTGATTTAGGGATAGAGTTTATAATGGTGGTTAAGGCATGACAGCACAAGAAGGAAGCTGGCTGAGCAGTTTTAATCAAAACACACACAACAGGAAATGGGTTGAAGCTATAGACACTCAAATCCCATCCCCCAATGAGGAATTACACTCAGAAAGGTTTCTACTACTAAAGGTTCTATAAGCACTCCAAAGAAAGCCATCAAGGAGAGACACAGGTTCAAATACATCATCCTTTCTGGGAGCCTTTCTTTCAGTCAACTAGATTCTGGCCCAGGTCACTATAGGCTCATGGTCATCCATGAAGAAAATGCATTTATTCATTTCATGGATGACCATGAGCCTATAGTGACCTGGGCCAGAGGAAGTGAGACATAGTGAATGAAGATTGGACCAAAACAAGACTGAAACCCAGCAGGGCAACCATGAGATCCAGTAGCTCTGTGTCAGACACATGGGGCTCCAGTTTCAGAGGGCTTAGATGGCTCTAGTCTCACAACTTTTCATTCATTTCTCTCTTTGTTTACTTCCACTCCTTATATTCAGTTCTCCATGGAAGATGTCTCATAGTATAAGTATCTCAGCATCTTACGGTCTCACACTGCAAGTCATGATTCATCCTCATAGAATCATGCAGTAAACTTTCAAGTTCCTTCACTGGTGCCCTGACTCTACCAAACACAGATACCTATACAACAATGCTGAACTGAAACCACAGATTAAGAACATGCATAGCCTTAAATTTTGCATCTTTTTTCTTTCCAGAACCAATGCAACATCGATTATTCCCCCAAATTCGGCTTCTAGGCTGTATGTACCCTGTCATGCTTGGACTAAAGTTGTAGCAGACTTTGTGTGAAATTGCTTCCTGGGACTACAGATCACTTTGCCCAATTCTTTCATTAACCAAGGGCACAGAAGGATAGATTGTCATCCTTTAGGCACCTTGCTAGGCTTCCAGTATAGAACAAGGGCCTTCTCTTTAATGGTGATAACCTCCCTTTATTCCCAGCACTTGGGAGGCAGAGGCAGGCAGATTTCTATGAGTCTGAGCCAGCCTGGACTACATAGAGAGTTCCAGGACAGGCTCCAAAGCTACAGAGAAACCCTGTCTCAAAAAACAAAAAACTAAAACAAAATAAACAAACAAAAAAATGCAGCCACGTTGGCAGGTAATGGTGGTTGATCACTCAGTCAGGAGCCAAAGAGTGATAAATGTTGGTTCTTATTCCATAATCTAGTACTAAGATTGAACTAAATATTTTCTCCAAATTTGTCAAATGCAAATGGACTAGACATTGTTGACAAACTTATTGCCTGTATATATTGTATGTACACTTATTGTACTTATTATATATAGTTTTTCTTATGTTAGTTATAGCCTTCTATTTTGTATTGGATAAAAAAGGAAATTGTGGTGATACATTATTTATTAAAGCTTGCCTGAGGATTCTGAAAGCAAAGTCAACCACAATTCATAGAAGCCAGGCACACACCTTTAATCCCAGCAGCCAGAAGCTAGGAGGTGGTGATACACACCTTTAATCCTAGGATTAAGAGGTAGACCGATCTCGGTGAGTCCAAAGCCACCCAGATCTACATAAGATTGATCCAGACCTAAAGAGAAACTGCTCACACAAAGATGATCTCAGTATTCATTCTCCAGCCACATTGAGGATAGGAAGACATTCAGTCTCAGGATTCTCTAGTCAAGCTGAGGAGAGGCAGCAGGATCAGCCCATTCAGCCTGAGGTAGTGGTAAGAGCTAGGGGCCCACTACTTTGATTTTCTGTTCTTCAGCTTGAAGTTTGAACCCCCGTATCTGTCTCTGGGTCTTTTACTTATCTTGAAACAAAAGACCATGGACTGGAATGGTGCAACCACTCCTGGAGGAGAGAAGACTTTTCTCATCTCAATGAACTTAATATACAAACTAATCTCTCATAAACACCCCAGAGAATAGCATGATCCAGATAAGCTCTCACAGGTGTGCCTAGAGGAGCATAGCTTGGCTGATTTTAACTCTTATCAAGTTGAAAATCAGTATTATTCATCACATAAAATTTGCAGTGTAGATAGAGAAGACATTCCTTATTTTAGTGGTATCTCAAATACCATTGAGCTATGTTTGAGGCCAAAGTATATAAAACCTTTTGAGTTTGGACTTATTCCTTTTCCAGATGTAAGCAGAAATTTTCTGAGGCTCTACAGGAAGGATAATGAACCTCATGTAGAGTAAGGCACAGTGCAGAATTCTTCTGACCCAAGCTTTTACCTTAATAAATCAGAATCCTACAGAAGCCTCCTCAAGAACTGATCTATGATATGGTTATCAAAGAGAAGGAGACAGACACACCCACACAGGAAGAAAGACAAGAGAGAGAGAGAAAGAGAGAGAGAGAGAGAGAGAGAGAGAGAGAGAGAGAGAGAGAGACTAAGACTCCCTAAGAACCCATTGAAATGGAATTTACAAAGTTACCAAAACTGTAACATGGCTTTGTATCAATTTAAGTGTGGCTCTCCCTCAAAACACCGCACTTCCCAAAGTCCTTTCTACTTTCCAGGCCTAGCCTATCTACTACATAGGGTGTTCCGGGCCAGACAGGGTTAGAAAGTGAGACTGTGACTCAAAAAGACTCACTCCAAAAATCTCTACTTAATAAACTTTAGGACTGAAAAATGATTTAACAGATAAAGTACTGACCTTGCTACTACCCCTTTACTTCTACATTATAAAGACAGTTGCAATTATATATGCCTATAATCCAGTGGTTTTTAAGGCAAGATAAAAGGCAGACAGAAGAAATCCAGTAAGCCTATTCACATGTGATAGCAAACTAGAGATCCTGTCTCAAACATGCTGAAGAAAAAGGACCAACACCCAAAATTATTCTCTGACTTTTACACACAAATCATGACACTCACGCATACCTTTCCACACACAAATGAGAACTTACATACAAACAATCATAAGTAAAAAAATAATAAAATTATAATTGGATATATGGCACACACCTTTTATTCTAATACTAGGGTGGCAGAGGCAGGCAGAATTCTGGGAGTTTGAGGCCAACCTCATCTACATTCTGAGTTCAAGAACAGCCAGAGATACAAAGAGAGACCCTGTCCCAAAATAAAATTCAAACTCTGATTTATATTGATTAATCCTGAAAATCCTTTTCCAAAATGCACTAAAGCGTCCCAGCTTAACCTCAGCAGAGGTCTCAAGATTCAGGACAATATCTCTTAAAGTCATTTCACATGTCAGCCACTGGTCCCTGTCAAATCATTCTCAGAAATGAACATAGCCAACTGTGGTAGCAGAGCCAGGCAAATCTTGAATTCAAGCCAGTTTGGTCTTCATAGTAAATATGATAGTAAGACATTTCTCAGTAACACACATACTCACAAATATAGTTGAATATAGTTTTTCTTTGTTGTTTGAGACAAGATCTCATTAGAAAGCTCCAGCTAGCTTAACACTCACACTGCATATTTTAATAAATAGTTTATATTAAATATTTTAAAACAAATTCCAGTAAACATTTCATTCTATACCATCGGCTCAATGTTCAAAGCATGACAGTTTTCTATATGAGAGGGAGCTTCCAAGCAATTGTCTTTATATTTACAAAAATGTCAAAGAACTGAAGCAGGAAAAATTTTATGTTGTTTACAATTCTAGGTTGTTTTCCTCCATTCAATCATTCTATGAAATCAGTATCAATCTTTTCTTGAACTTTTTATAATTTAGAAACATTTTAAGTAGTTTATTTGTAAATTGAGGTATTTGCACACGTTGTTTTAAGGCTAAGACTCCAACTGTGGAAGCTGAAACAATACCTATTAAAGTAAATATTACAGCTACCAGTAACCTAAAGAATTTTAAGAATGTTTTTCTAAAATAGTTTGAAAATTTCCAAGTATTGTGTTGAAATTTTCAAATACCACTCTACTTTTAATTTTACTGGGATCATAAAATAAAAGATGGCCTTTGTTACTCAATTATAGTATTAATCGTTGTGCTATCAACACATGGAGTTAAATAGTTGTTATTGTATATTACATGAAACAAAGAATAACCATAGTGGATTACTAGGTTTTCTGTTAATAATACATGAGGAGCAACTACACAAGCCTATACATAATATGATTCTATCAAAAGTAAACTTAGCAGTGTTTCTCACAATATTTCATCTCTAAAGAGTAATGAATCATGTACTGCTTTAGTTAGGGTTTCTATTGCTGTGAAGAGACATCATGTCCATGGCAACTCTGATAAAGGAAAAACATTTAATTATGGTGGCTTATATTTTCAGAGGTTTAGCCCATTATCATCATGGTGCAACATGGTGTCATGCAGGCAGACATGGTGCTAGAGAAGGATCTGGGAATTATATAGCTTGACCCACAGATAACAGGAAGTCATTTGGAACTCTGGACATGGCTTGAGCAAATATGTGACCTCAAAGCCTACCCCTGCAGTGACACAATTCCTCCAACAAAGCCATACACACAGCAACAAAGCCACAACTTCTAATAATGCCATTCCCTATGACCTTATGGGGGCCAATGACATTTGGATTACCAAAAGTTCTAGGCATTAATGTTCACAAGGAAGTATGAAATGTCCTCCTGAGTGAGAAAACAATAAGTCCATATAATTGAGAAAGACTAAAAGTGTAAGTTTGTTTCCACACCATAATTTATTAGACCATGAAATTTTTGGTGGGGTCTGCCTAAGACCCCACGATATATTACGTGAAGTATTCAGCTTACATTTAACCCAATGTGGAAATGGTGACAATGTCACTCCTTGTTCTCAACTAGGACAAGGACAGAGGCAATTCTGTAATACCAGTTATGTTTTGAGATGCCTGTGTTAATAATTTTGCTTCCAATAACTTATACAGGTTAAACATTTATTTTTCCCATTTTTTTCTGCTGTTATGAAAACTCTAACATTATTAACTTCAAGACATCCTGGTGTATTATTTGTTATTCATGGTCAAATGTATATGTGACCCAGAAGCCTAATAGTAGTGAGCATAGTAAAAAATGTCTTTTAGACATGTAAAATTAACTTAGTCAGTAACACCACTATACCCAAGACTGTACCCGATAAGCAGAACTCAGTGACATCACTCACTCAAATCAAGCAGACATGGTCCTAGAACCCCATGACAGCCACTGGGCAGACTATAGGCAGAAATCAAAAGCAATGCTCTGCTCTGTAGATCTGGAGAGACACCACCTTGATTTACCCTACATTTGGAAAGTCTCCCTGAGGATCCTGACCCTCAAAACAAATGTCTGTTAGAAACTGGATCTGACCTTCAGCTAACATACTTAGCACAGCCTTGGGGAAAGTTAGTTAGGAATTGAGAGTGAGAAACTTGTGTGATGGCCATCAGCATAATAAAACATAACTTTTACGGCACTAACTACACACATCTACCTTCTGGCTCATGACATTGCTCTTTCCCCCCAATTCCCCTCCAGAATTTGTTGTCAGTTGTTTGGTGGGTCTTTGCCATGCTGACTGACTGCAATTACCACAACTCTTATCAACACACAAAACCACAAGCTATAGAAACAGCAACAATTTATAATATCAATAAGCTCCATAATTCTGGTAATAGACAATATAACTAGTTTTTTTAGCACAAAATAGCAAATGCCTCAAAAACAAGTTATGAGTTTGTTTACCTTATTAACATTTCCAAATTTACCAGTGAGCTCACCTATGAGGATCACCCATGCTGCCTCTCAAACATTCCAAGATTAGCAATTACTAAATTCTCAGAAGACAATGAGAGGGGGAACATGGAAAACTCTGTAAAGCAGCTGGGCACCAGGAAGTATTTGGAAGGCATCTGGGCTCAAAGAAGGGTCTATAGAATGTCTTAGAGAATAAAAAAAAATCAGAATGCAACCTGGTTGCAGAAAGGTCCTTAAAAAGGACAGGTGGACACCTGCTGCACTAATCCTGCATCGGGTTCTCACCTCTGTAACCATGTAAAGCTGTTCCTGGGTTATTCCAAGCATCCTGTTACTCCTAACAGCTACAGCAGCAGCACTATGATCTCCACCTCTCTGGGTTTCATCATCAGCCTTGGTTGACTCCTTGACAAGCTCAATACAGGTGCTGGAGATCTCCAGGGACTAATCCCAGGGCTGCAAGTGATCAGGTGAAGTGACACTCCATGAACACTTCCTTTGGCTCCACAGATATTTGAGATAGGCAAGACAAAAGCTGTGTTGGTGCACAGGACCTGGGAGCGTGTGTAGCCCCACCTTCCTGCCTCCCTAAGTCAAGCCTCTCAATCGCCTACTAAACACATCCTCCCTCTCTCTGAAGCAAATCCAACAGAGAGTCCTCCACAAGCACAGCAATGTCCAGATGCATCCCCAGGCAAGTCCCTCACAGACAACCCATACGACATGCTCACAGACATTTCCCCCTCCCTGGTAATGCCCTTCCAGAAATTATTTTAACCTAAGTTTGAGGACCTGGGAATCCTGTGGTGACCTCAGGTTTGAGAAAAGGGGCAGAATGGGGAGCTTGTGGCAGCTAAACTGGTGGGCTGCTCTAACATCAAGGCCAGTGGAGACAGCAGGTCAGCCCCTCTACTGCAACCATAGGGCGCTGAAAGAGACCTGGACCTCCAGAGCAGGGATCATATAGGGACTGGGAACCCAAAGCCACAGGTGGCAAAGTAGACAGACACTGAGTCCTGCAAGAAGATGTCTGGTGAAGAAGAAAACATTGCCAGTAGACATACTAACACAGGAAGTTTGAGGGGGGAATCTAATGAGACCCTCTCCCTAGTCAAAGTACTACAGGAAAGTAATGACTATTGAGAGAAGGAGAATTGTTCTTTCCCAGGGACGAGGCTCCTAGTTGCTTATCCAAAACAAAGTGGTCTGCCCCGAAATCATATAAATAGAAGAAATACCAAATATTCAAATATTTATGCACACAGACATATAAATACACATGCAATAATAACAACAAAAGGGAAACACAACCAATTTGAGACAGAGTAATTAGGAACATGTATCAGGCTTTCTTTTGAGCCAGGAGCCAGATCCCAAATCATGACATGACTAACTTATTGTTAGTTATGACTTCTCAGCCTTAGCTTAGGCTTCTTTCTTGTTAGCTCCAACAACTTAACCTGGTTGGTAGCTGCCTTGCTTCTGATTCCACGTATGTCCTCTTTCTTCCTCCTCCTCTCCTTCTCTCTAGATTCCTCCTCCTATTTATTCTTTCTGCCAGACAGCCTAACCTAGATATTGGCTATTCAGGTTTTTAGACAAATCAAGGGCCTTAGGCAGGCAAGGAGGCAGCTTAGTGGTGAAGTGCTACCCAACACATGAGATGCCTTTTACAAAATCAACTATAGACGGATCTTACATGTAAAAGGTTAAATGCAAAGTGCTGAACCTCTAGAAGGTACTGAAGAAACTAGGCCTCTTCAGGTTTAGCAACCTGCTTTCCATGGGTGCACCAAAAGCAAGCTGAAGTTGACTACAAAGACATTTCTACACAGCTCCCTGCTCACAATGCTCAGAGCAGACTCAGCCCACAGAGCAAAATTATTCAGAGGCCTGCCTCCGCATCCAGAGAATTTCAAGGACTGCATGGGACCTCACAGGACAGGGAGTCTGGGGGCAGCTTGCCACCCAGATCCAAGGAATATCCACACCGGCTCCAGCATCTCACCATCTGCCATACCCCGTCTGGGAAGCGCAGCTTTAACCCTCACTCACCATGTCGTGGTTTCCCAGCTCGCCCAAGTTCCCTACTCAGCTCCCTGCAGCAGCACTCCAAGCGCGGTACACAAAACCACGGCGCTGCTGCTCTTCAAAGCCAAACCTGAAGGCTGGCGCCCGGAAGAGCCCTGCACCACTCTGACTGGCAGCTCGCCTGAAGGGTCTGATTGGCTAAGTGAGGCCTGAGTGACAAGAGCACCTCCCATAGTGTTACACTGTTTAAAGACACAGCGCAATGGTTCCTTTCACCCCAGACAAAGACCTTTTCTAGATCTGCAAAAATATGCATTTCAATAGCACTTGCTCCTCGCTCCAATAGTAGACCCTGCTATCTTCCTGCACTCCCGCAAGCACTTCTTCCCTTTCTTCCTCTTGGACACAATGTAGCTGTTCTATGAAGGTAGAGTGATTCCTTGACCCACAGGTGAAAGGATACTCAGAACATTAACGACTAAAGAGAGATTTAGGACACCAAAGAAGATGTTTGTTCTGTGGTTTCATGCTGAGGTCAGATGAACTAAAGGTACTTTTCACCTGGTTGTCACAGGGACTTCAGACAACTAGGAAAGAAAAGCAGGCACCAGATCACAAACAAGACTGGTCTTTCTCCCATCAGAAGGCTGGAAGATGGCTCCAATGCTGTAGGAGTTTTATTCCTGAAATTCAGACCAAACTCTTGTCAAGTGAGTAACATTAAAAAGAGTAGTCTTCATGGAAAATTGAATACTTAGAGAATAACGAAGCTAGGAAGAATGTCTATGAGCACTATTGTTAGCACATCTTCCTTGGTGGGCAGGTGAAAAAACACACACACACACACACAGCTGTGCCATTCAACGTTTTCTATATTACCAGGACTGGTAGAATGAATCTACATATGTAGAAATTGGATTTAGTAGAATGTATTACAAGCTGTGGTCCAGGTACTCCAACAAATGGCTGCCTACCAATGGAAATTTGATGAATCCAGCAAGTTGCTTAGCCCATGAGGCTGGGTGTATCAGCTGGTCTTCATTATACACCAAAATTCCAGAGAAGTAAGCTCTAATGCTAGTAATACTAGCCAGAGATCGGGCAAGCAGGCAAAAAGAAAGAGTTTCCTTCTTCAATAACCGTTATATATGTCATCTGCTACTAAAAAGTTAGATCCAAATTAAAGGTCGACCTTATTCCTTATTATTACTGTTATTATTGGTTTCTTTGGTATTATCGAGACAGGGTTTATCTGTGTAGCCCTAGAACTCATTCCGTAGACCAGGTTGGCCTCAAACTTAGAAAATCCAACTGCTGAGTGCTGAGGTTAAAGGTGTGCGCCGCCACAAGCTGCTAAAGGTGGATCTTATCACCTCAAGTGATTCAGATTAAATATGGGTCTTTAATTTCAAAACCTTTAAGAAAAATTCCTCACAGGTGTAACCAGTTCTTGGGGTTTTAGTTCATTCCAGAGGCAGTCAGTTTGACTGCCAAGAATAGCCATCACAACAGCCAAGACACAAGAAATGAGAAAGATCTTTTATCTGCAGGAGGCAAGGAGCACATGGGAGTTATTTCAAAAACAATGCTTTTCCTAAACAAAGAATTTTCTTAGGGAATCTGGACACATTCACATAGAGTTGTGCCTATTCCTAAGCATGCTCAGTTAGCAAATCCACTTCTGAACATGATCACAATGTAAAAGCAGAGACATGTAGGGGCACTCTTACACCAAAGGCATGCAGGAACATATATGGAAAGAAATGCCTCTAGTATGTCCATCTTGTACCACAAGGTGTTAGCTGAAAATCAAGGAAATGACACTGTGAAAAGTAGATTGCTTTAGATTCTATTGGACCTGTCAATCTTGGTATTTGATCTAAAAGATAACTCTACCAATGCTACAATTCTCACAGACACAAAAGACAGAGATCACAAATGCAGAAAACTTAAGGAACAGCCACCTAACAGTACTATATACTCTGTTCTTAGGTGAACCATTATGATGAACTCTGTTAACCTCAGAACAAAGTTGTTTTTGCCTCTGACCAGGTTTGCTCAGCAGAAGGCCACAGCTGCCTTCATGCAAGACCAGAGAAGTTCATTTTTTACTAGCCCTGGCTTGCCCTCTTTCTCAGGGCTATGACATCACTATAGAGAATTTCATTCTTTCCTTTTTCTAACTTTTTTAAAAATTTAGTTTTATGGCATTTTGCCTGCATGTGTCTGTGCACAGTACCTGCAGAGGCCAGAAGAAGGCAGGAGATGGCTGGGACTGGAGCTACAGAAAATGGTTAGCTACCATGTGAGTTCTGGAAATGGAACCCCGATCCTCTGTGACAATACCCAGTGCTCTTAATTGCTGAATCCTTTTTCTAGCCCCTCTTTATTATTTAAAATTTATTTCTATAAATTGTTAATCAAAAGATATTACATCACTTTCCCCTTCTATGTCTTCACTCCATTTCTGAATCCCTTCCAACTTCTTCTTTGTTAAATATGGGTGAATAAGTATGCTGAAATACATGATTGCAATCTGCTTCATCCATTTTGGCTATATATATATATATATATATATATATATACATATATATATATGTGTGTGTGTGTGTGTGTGGGTGTGTGTGTGTGTGTGTGTGTATGTGGCTGACCTCGTGGTATTGGATAGTTAGGTAGCTCATCCCTGCCTGAGGCAAATTCTCTCAAATGGAGGAGAATTCCACTTTAAAATCAGCATCAGGTATCTGACCCTGGCTAGGCTGCCTTGGACAAGAAACATAATCATGAACAGAAAACTCCCAGGAGTACAAAGGGAAGTAAAACTGACCCTCCCTCTCCTAGCACTATTAATGCCAATAGCTCCTCACCTAAGAATGAACTTAGTGCCCACCTATCCTTTTCATGTTGGAATTTTGGTCTGGTTTGAGCTTGAACAGGTTTAGTGGATGCTGTCACAAGCACTGTGAGTTCATTTGTGCATCTGCCCTGCTGTGTCTGGAAAATACCATTTTTTTTTAGACATCCACTGTCCCTGACTCCAGCTCTTTGCAGCCCCTCTTCTGAAATGATCATGGATCTTAGAAAGAAAGTGTGTGATATAGATGTCTCAAAAAATCTTCCTCAAAGACCTGAAATCCTTCTCTTGAAAGTTAAGCACTTCTTTAAAAAACCATTTTTCTCAGATTTATGTACTCCTTTATTTATATGCATGTATGCGCCTGTGTGAGTTTTGTGTACCATGTTTGTACAGGTGCCCACAGAGGCCATAAAAGGCCACCAGATTCCATAAAACTTTAATTAAAAGGAGTTGTGTGCTGCCTGATGTGGGTGCAGGAAACAGAACCTGGGACCTCTGCAAGAGCAATAAATGCTCTTGACTGGTAAGCCACCTTTCCAGAGCATCACTTCTTTCTCCTTAAACTTTTCACAATGAAAGTTTTACTTTGACATTATTTATTTTACTGACAGAGAATCTGGGTGAGAAGGCAGTATGGTAACTTGCCTCTAGTCACACAGCTAGTGAGTAACTAGATTTAGCATTATTTCAACTAACACATAGGTCCTAGGCATCAAGGATCTCTGTTTTATAGGAACCCATCCAAGAATGAACATGTCCAGGTTAAAATCACCTTAATGTTATTTCATTTCATCCATCACAATATAATAGATAAGACTGAAATGTTCATATTTATCCCATGACTCTCTGGCTACCTAGTATTGAATCTAAAATTTGAAGACTGAAGGATCCCTTAAAGAAAAGGTTGTTTTGTTTTGTTTTTTCCATTTTTCAATGTTATCTACAAGAAGACCAGGTGTATTCTGAAACTCCCAGCAACAACATAACACAGCAGTTTGAAATGTATCTGCTTGATTTAGGGCCAACTGCATCATTGGGGAGGAAAAAACATGTATTACTGACACTGACCTAAAGTAATTATAGCTGAACAAGATGTGTAACACAAAATGGGACAAAATTTGAGGTAGTTAATGGTCCACAGTGAAAGGTGCTTGTTGCGTCTGGGTTTGCTAGATAATTAAAATAGTATAGTGCCCAGGGTGTGATTGCCTGGGAATAAACATTTTTTTTTTAAGTAAGGATTTGGTTGCTAAAGGAAACATGACATAGAATCTTTATTCAAATTGGTTTACCCCATAGAGGCTAATTAATTAACTCTTTTATCTCCCCTTCTTCTGTTCTTCCACTTATGATTCAACTTGGGACACAAAAGAAATTTTCTCTATCACTAGATAGCCACACTTAGTTTGTGTCTGCCCCCTGTGGTTGGCTTATTTCTGTCCTTATTTGATAGAATTTCTTTTCCCTAACCCTCAAAATTATGCTTTTCTTAAAAATACCTAAAAAAATTTCCCTTTTGTTTTCTGCATTCCTTTTCAATTTATTAGACAATGGAGAGGTCTATTGATGGAAACGTATATATCTTTATCGAATGATTTTTCTTGTGGGAAGAAAGGGCCTACAGTGCTCTAGAACACTTAGCAGAACATTGCACTTTTACATGGTGCTTGCTGAGAAGATATTTTCCCTCCAAAGATAAGCACAGCTGTTAATTACCTCAACAAACACATCACAAACCTAGTGTGGTGGCAATGCATATATTCCCAGCAATAGGGAAGATGTAACAAATCTTGAATTCAGTCCTGCCTTAAAAAAAACCACAAAACTCAACAACCACCACCACCAAAACTGCTACAATTTAGAAGTTACTTTTATTTTTATTGTTCTCTTCCAGTAGAAAATTTTGATTTTTTATCTGGTGTGTGTGTGTGTGTGTGTGTGTGTGTGTGTGTGTGTGTGTGTGTGTGTGTGTGTTTGTCTTTCACATAAGTCAAGAGAAAGGACCCTGAGGCCAAGTCATTTATTTTTCTAGGAGGGTACAGACATTTGGAAATTGAGAGGAAGTGTGTTTAAGGGAAATGTTCTAAGGATATATCCTTAAATAAAACATTAAGAAGAAAATAAAACTATGAAGTTGCAGAAGATCAGCAGGAATTTAATTAATACTTAGGGATGAGCAGAGGTCCACAGGAAAGCATACAAAGTCTTTGAGCATGAAGTTAGAATTTCCCCTTCTTGTTGTAGCTTTGATCTTTTAACACCATTGAGGAATACCTTGGCCCCCCACCGAAGACGGC